ATTGTACAATGATAACAATGACAAAAATCATACAATGATGGTATTAAACAAAAATTGGAAAATGATAAAATTGATATTTTTAAAATCGTACAATATACAATAATTGTCTATTCTTCTTCTCCTTCTTCTTGCTCGTCTTCGTCTTCGTCTTCGTCTTCGCCTTCGCCTTCAAGGTCATCGGCTAGTTGCATAGATTGGGAACTAGCCGAACCCGAACCGGAAGCGGAGGTTCCTTCTTCGTTGTCGTTGTGGTCGTAAGAACGGTCTTATGAGCGATTTTCCGCATCCAACCAATCTTTGAAACACACGCACATTTCTAGTGTTTCGGGTTTTAGACTTGTTTTTCTATCGTCTAAAACCCTTCCGGATGCGCTGAAAGCTCGTTCGGAGGCGACGGAGGAAACTTGGATAGCAAGAATGTCTCGTGCCATTGCCGCCAAAGTTGGATGCTTCGAGCTTTGTTGTTTCCACCATGCAAGGAGGTCGAGGCTGTTTATCTCATCGTCGTCCATGCCTTTGGTGAAGTCGTAACTCAGGTACATCTGCAACTCCGAGACGTCGCTTTGCGTTCTCCTGATTGATGAATCACCTGAAAACCTTGAAATCAAGTTAGTAGCTTGTGAAAATAAATGTTTGGCCTTCTTACTTACGTTTTTGCATGGTTGGGAAGGCCCTGAGCGAGGAACGGTGCCATATTTGGCTTCATAGACTCTATATAAAGCAAAAAACTGATCCTTCACATTAGTCTTATAGTTTTCTACATCATCGTCAAGAAACATGCATTGAAAGTAAATGTCAACTAACATAAATGTGTTTTCATACTTTTGCCTAGGATCTAATATGGAAGCAAAAATATAAATCAAAGGAATCTCACTATAATATTTACGCCACTTTTTTTCCATTGCTGGAAGATACTGATCATAATCACTTTGATGGCGATGATCAGCGAAAAGTTGGGCGAGTAAGCATGCATTAGAAAGAAAGTTTTGAGCATAAGGATTGTAAACAGTAGAAAAACAATACGTCATGTTATATAATAACTGTAAAAATTGCATATATCTTTCACAGTTATTCCAATCATCATCATACAAAGCATTTTGTGGAAATTTTTGGTTGTAAAATAATGTTAACGGGCCCTTGTACTCAATTGCCTTTGTTAACATGTCATAGGTGGAATTCCACCTAGTTAGGCAATCGGTTCTAATTTTTATTACCCTTATCTTTTGTTGTTTTAGAAAACTCTTCCATTCTTGGTATCTCATGTTAGAGCTATTAATAGACATAATAGCATCTCTGATTTTGCTGTAGTATGGGCCAATTGCCCGAACTCCATCCTGTACACATAAGTTAAGTACATGGCAAACACATCTAGTATGAAGAGCTTCACCGTCTAATAGTACATCGGTTAAGTTTTGTTTGATAAGATTAGCTGTGTATGTCATAGAGGTTGCATTATCAAAAGTCATAGACATCATTTTATCTCGAAGGTTGTATTCGTCTATTGCTTGCATTAAATGGTGAGCAATGTTAATGCCGGTGTGTGGGTATTCCAGCATTTTGAAATGTATTATTCTTTTTTGTAACATCCATTGATCATCTACCCAATGGCAAGTCACACATAAATAGTGATATTTATAACCACTATCCCAAAAATCGGCTGTTAAAGATACTCTACAGTTAAGGTTACTCAATTCGGCTTGTAACCGGACTTTGTACTCTAGGAAATTTTTCATTGCGGCGGAACGAACGGTTTTCCTAGAGATTCTTTTATGTTGGGGTTGTAGTGCTTTGTTAATGTAGGTGTTGAATGCGTCACTTTCCGAGAAAATAAAAGGTTGTTCGGCGTGTACTATCATTTTTCCTAGTTCATCCCTATCCCTCTCATAGTTGTATGTAAAGCCGTATGGATGGATTGGGAAATTTTGGGCTGGGTTGGATCACTAGCTGGTTTTGCACAAGCTTTCATGTGTCTAGATAAGTGTCCCGTCCCGTTTTTGGTAACTGCCGTGAATACACTATTACATGTTTTACATTTTGCCCATTGTTCACCATCTTTACTTAGGACAAAATAACGCCATACCTCACTCCTTCGGTTTTTCAAAAGTAGCATCTCAGTTTCGGTTAACCATTCATGATGTGTGTGATGGTTAGTAGTGGGACTAGTGGGAGTGGCAGTAGAAGGGGTAAAACCGGAGGGAATTCGGGTACTTTCTTGGCTACCTTGGCTAGAACAATAGTTTTGTTGATCACCGATATAATTAGGTAGAAATTGGTATGGTGGTAGTGGAAATTGGTTTAGTGGTGGTGCTGGAAATCCCGACGTATTATATGGCTCATAGCCCGGGGGGAAGTAAATGAGGTCATTGGTTTGACTCGTAATTTGGGGGCTCGTTGTATTTGGTGGTTCCCTAGAACTACTACTACGGATAAGTCGGCCTTTCCCCCTAGACCTAGATGATGGGTTGTTCGATTCCATAATTAACAATTAATTTTTTAATAAAAAGTGGTTAACTATAATAATAATAATTAATAACAACAATTTTAACAATAAAAATATCAATAATAATAATTAATAACAACAACTATAACAATAATAATAACAACAAAAATAAATAATAACAACAATTGTAACAATAATAATAATTAATAACAACAATTATAACAACAACAATAACAATTAACAACAATAATAATTAAACAAGATTATTCTAATAATAAGAATAAAACAATAATAAATTTAAGATTTGTTTAGATCTTACAACCGTGCTTCAACGCTCCACTAATTACGATTACGAACTTTTTAATTTTTTCCGATATTAGGAAAATAATTAGAGAATTTAAGAGAATAATTAGAGAATTTAAGAAAATAAGGATTATTAGAGATTTAGAGAATATAAGAGATAAGAAGAAGAGATTGTGATTTTGTGATTTGGGAATGAAATGGAGGTGTGTATTTATAGAACTTTTGGGGAGCAAATTGGCAAAAAACTAGCCGTTTTTTAGCCGTTTTTTTGGCTTATTAAGGAGTTAGAATAAACGGTAATATTACCGTTGGCCCGCGGGCCGTTCCGGGCCGTGCCTACGGGCCGGCACGACGGGCCAGCACGGCGGGCCATGGCCGTGCTCGTGCCGGGCCGTGCCTGGGAATTCTCAACCCTGTCCGTGGCACGGCCCGTGGCACGGGAGTTGATCTTCGTGTCGTGCCGTGCTTGAATTCGGGTCGTGCCGGGCTGCGCCGAACGGCGGGCCGTGTCGGGCGGCACGCGGGCCAACCCGGCTCGTGCCCAGGTTTATTCCCACCTAACAAAGAAAAAAAGAAAATTTAGAATTTTTATTATTTATTTATTGATACAAAGAATTTGGGTATGTGAATAACTTAATATTGATATTAGTGTATGGTTAACTAGTGTATTGTGTATAGTTTAACTTTTTGTAAAATGCTTTTAGATTAATTAAATTAAATATGAATATCCCTGTATATACATAAATAGAGGTGTCAATTCCGATGTTCGGATCAAGTTTGGAGAGGTCGGGTCAATTTTTAAAATTTAGTTATGCTAAATTATTGTGTCCAAGCAAGTTGAAATCTGAATTGGATTTTTTTTTCGATCAGTTGGGTGCAGTTTTGCCACCTAAAAGATCTTGTTCTCTCCACCTTATTTTTGCTAAATTGGAATTATTTTTATTGAATTTAAATTATTTTTGTTGAACTTAAATTTTTTTTACTTAACTGAAATTATTTTACTTAACTAAAACTATTTTTGCTGAACTAAAATTATTTGTACTGATTCCATGTTATATGTCTTCTTTAAAGTTACTGATTTTTATTAAACTGAAATTATTTTTACTGAATTGAACTTATTTTTACAAAATTAACTTATTTATTAAACTGAAATGATTTTTATTGAACCGAACTTATTTTTGCTGAATTAAAAGTATTTTTACTTTTACTAAACTGAAATTATTTTTGTTGAATTGAAATTATTTTTACAAAACTAAAATTATTTTTACTAAATATTATTTTCTTAAGGTGAAGTAAACCAGGCCTAAATATAGACAAAGTTAATTATAAAAATAAATAAATAAAAAAAAAACTACCCAACCACCCCAGCCCCATCACCGCCCCACCACTGCCACCTTCTTCTCCACCTTGACCCACAGCCTACGCAGTCGTCAGCGCACCACCTTCCCCTCCATCACCGACAGACCTGAACCCATCCCCACTCTTTTCGTGCAGCCCAAATCACCCCAAAACCATCTAACTATAGTCGTCGTTCCCCAAGAACGGCCACGAATTCGGCCATTGATGGTCGAAATCGGTCGATGGCCACTCAGCCCCACAATCGGCCGATTTCAGCCATTAATGGCCGAATTCGTGGCCATTTTGGGAAGGAGGGTTGCGGAGTTGGGTGGTTTTGGGGCAGATTAGGGCTGCAAAGGGGGAGGGTTTAGGTGTGTCGGGTAAAGGAGAGGAAGGGATGCGCCGGCGTTTGGTGAAGGTGGCTGGGGTGGTGGTAGGGCTGGGTAGATTTATATTGTTTTAAAAAAATTATTTTTTAAAAACAAGTAAAATGGTGACACATGTGACTGTAGACCCCACTTAACAGAATTTTTGGCGGGGACCATTAAGTGGTGGAAAATCCATTTTTTAAAAAAAATTGTCTGGTGTTAAAATATTTTTATTTTATTTTTATGGGGGTAAAACCCATTTTTGAATTTTGTCTGGTGTTAAAATCTAAAATTTCATAAAACTAATTTAAGTTAAGTAAAAACATGTTAGTGACTTGTTAGTCATCACATAAGGCAAGAATCATAACATATAATGGATGAACAAATAGTCATTGTTCACTACAAGCAAATTTGAATCATTTTTCGAATAGTGAACCATGCATGTTAAAGCCTTAAAGGTACTCAAGGAAATTGGGGTACATGCATGTTTTCACACCAAGAATAAAAAAGGTGAAATCCACAAAAGGAGTGAAGATTTGAAACAGCAAAAGGAGCATAGAAACAGCAAGAGGAGCATATCTAGCATTATTCTTCTTCAAAGACACAATAGTTATATACGATTACTTATATATATTAGTAATTCAATGGAGTACATCAATAATAAATTTAGTAATTTACCAAATGAAAGATTGCTTTTGAGAATGTTAACTTCATTATTAGTCCAAGTTATCGATCCCATCATTCTCAGTTGAACAAAGCTAAATACAAATTCAAATGTCAATCTAGACGCCGGAGAAGGTATTCAACTTCAACATCTTTAGTTAGAGGAATCACCCATTCATCATAAAGACGAGAGACCAATGAAGGATCAACCTTGTAGTCATTGGAATTACTTGTGTCATTGAGGGTTACTTCCTGCCCGAAAACCTTGGCTTTCTTCTCAATTCTTTGCTTCACCATTGCTTCCACTTTACTATCTGTCAATAGGTTCATAAGAGTATCTTTGTCCTGAATTAAGAAGTTAAGAGAACAGGTCAGAGAAAAAGATTTTATTCTACTTGATATAGGAGTTGTTTATCTATATGATTTAGCATAGTAAGATTACTGACTTTTTCGCGAATGGCAGCACTGTATGCTTCAGTCTCACTTCTGAACTTTACTTCAGCTACATATTTTCCAAAATGTATTCTCCTAGATAACACCTGAATGATAAAAGGTATTCAATCAATGCCATGTCAAACATACAAATTCAAGATTTTGGTCAGATTATCGTGCCTAAATGCCTAATGATATGTTTTTTTGCCTTGAAACAAACTTGTTTCAGAAAATACAGTTCTAGGGTAATAGATCAAATTTAGATAAGAGGCTGAGGGCTACAGCCTACGGGTTACCCAAGTTCAATTCACAGCAAAAATAAGTTAAGTTCAGATGCGCGTTTTCAGGTGAAAAGACTTTACTAACCTGCAAACACGCTAGATCAGAAGCCACACCTAAAGCATAATTTCCATCATCACCCTTAGCAGCCAGTAGAGGTAGAAATTGGTTAACATAAAAGTCCCAAATTTTCTTGCTTACATTGACAGATGCTGCAGCAGGAGGCAAATCCTACGATTGAAACGATACAGCAAATCATAAAACGACGAGTTCTAAAAAGTTTAAACCATGAATTGGACAGACATGGAAGTATCCAAGGCAAAAGACAAATTACCTGTGAACAATTTAAAGGGCGGTGTACTAATGGAGGTGGTAAGTGATCAGGAAAGAAGGGAACTTCTTCTGGACTTCGGTATCTGCCACCCTGCAATACATTACAAGGTATCACCTTAAGATGACAGAAAGAAATGGTTGAATATCACAGGACAGGAACCAAATTATTTCGTCGAAAAGCCACATTCTCTCAGCTCTAGGCAAAATTGGGTAGTTGATGTTAGAAAATTACTCTCTCTTTGACAATCCTTGTATGTGCATGCGACTACCTTTTCAGTACATCAACAAGAAAAATGTGAACCATCAATTATTTTTCTTATTGTTTGTTGGAAGTTGCTTGTTATTCCAACTACCACTACCCAGCAACTAATCTACAATCTATTGTGAAACCTGGTCAAACTATCAAGTCTATCTTTAAAATTGTGGTCATTGTCTATGTTAAATTGTGACATTATGAGTCAATGTATGTGTCCATCAATCGATTTCAAGAAATGTCTTTAAACATAAAATACTCAACGAAAATAAATATGCAAACAATCCAAACTTTGTCCAATCTTCTAGTCATAAATTTGTGTTACCTCAAAATGATCTCAACTTTTGAATATTGTCTCAATTCTCAAAACCGTCTAAAGCTAAAGGTGATAGTTTTGCCACGATTATATAATCTTACAAACATATTTCAACCACGGGTCTAACAAACCAAATTACCATTTGCCAATTTCCAATCTTAATTTCTTATAAAATGGTAAATGCTAATAATTTCATAATCATAATAAAGAATGTGACGTCCACTACTTTTCATGATGTTCATAAGAATCATAACCCATTAACAAAGAAACAGAATTATTTGATACATTTTCTAAAAGCTTAAAACCCACTTAAGAAAATAATGTACAAGTATTAGACCGTTGCTTGTGGACAAGTTTTAGGAAGAATCAAGCAATCTTTAACAAGTATGACCCACCAAAATCACTTTCCTCTCCCTCAATTAAGCAAAACCCAGGAAATTTTCCAACCTTCATACAGAAAAACATAAATAACTGTAGTCGTATTATATAGTTCGTTCAAATTACACTATCAACGTGACTATAACATATAGGGTGACATGCTGTAACCAAAAATAAAGAGAGAAAACTGACCTGGGCTTGAACAGATTCAGTACCCTTAACAAGGAGTTCCATCAAAGAGCCATGAAAACCAGGAAAATGAGAAGAATCATAAGCAGGAGAATTCAAAGGTAATTTAGCCCTTTCAATCAAGCTGTAAATAATGGTATCTTCAAGCCCAATTAACGTCTTCCTTATCGAGTCCAACGATAGATTATCAATTCCGTCGCTGCCCATTTTTGTAATCACAAGATTAAATTAATTTTTTTTTTTTAATTTAAGATGACAATTTTAAGAAAAAATTTGAAGGAAAAAACAGAGGAATAATACAGGGGAAAAAGGAGGAGAGAGAATATATATATAGATGATGAAATGAAGGTGTGGTTGATTTGTTTGGTTGTGGATTATAAACGAATCATTTCTTAAGCGTAGTGGACACGGATTGGCTTTACTTGGCTTGTTATGTGCTTAATTATTTGGGGTTACATCTTTGTTTTATTCTTCTAATCTTGACTTGTAGTTGTAGCCTATTTGGAGATTTCTCTTTGGAATATTAATTACTACTATATAATTGTACAAACATAATTCATTGGACACGGTCTTGAGTCAGAAGTCTTAAGATCGTATAATGTAAGGCAGAAAAGAACACAGAATGTTATGATGCGAATATGTACATGTTTATTGAAAAAAGATGACATGATGTTCATGGTAATGTATAACAACTCCAAACAAAATACGGAGTAACTAAAAGCAGGCGAGCTAGGTGCATATCAAAACATACTTACATAAATAAATTTTCATTATAGAGTGAAATTTGTTTGTATAGTGACAAAAGATTTGTTTCATGTGGATTAGCTTATTTGACAAAGATATGAATGGTGGTTTTTAAAATTAGGTAATGATACACAAAGCATACAACTTATTTGGATGCAATTAAATACGGAGTAAAATTTTTATAAATTATTACACTGATTTATCAATGTATGACAAAATCATATATCAAATGATGTAATAAATGTAACACAATATTTGAGTTATAATTTTTATTTTTAGTTCCTACAAGTAATACATGTTCTTTCTCATTTTTCTTTTATATTTGAATTTAAATTTATTACATATTTATATGATTATACTCAAGAAGTCTTGAGTATATTATTTATGATTTTGTATTGACCAAAAATAAATACTCTTTCAATACATAATATATGATACAATAAATTTGCATTTTTTTCTCTATCATAGATTCATAGAGATGTAGTCATGTAGAGATCATGCGCATACGGCATACCTAATGCTTAACGCCTTAACGGTTTCATAAACTTAATTATGATTATGAAGTCTACTAATTTAGACTCTTAGCCCTTAAGAAAGTTCTAATAATACAATGACTTACAAGCTAAGGGTCACTAACAGTCGTCCTAAGGTGGGCCAAACGCGGCTTTTGGACGTTGGCAACACATTGACTTCATGGACTGGACCTCTGATCTCATCCAAAACCCAAGAAATTTCGGCTAATTTATTTTATTTGTTCCAATTTATCAATCCTTCAACGTCTGACACGTATACAATATAAGTGTGCCAAAAGGGCAATATGCCTAGTATAGTCACCCAAACTATTCATTTATTCATAGATGATAAATCAATTAAAGAATCTCAAGCAATTGATTTTAGTACTTGTATAAGAATTATGTCACATATTCATTTGGATCACACTATGCTATACAGTAATAAACATTACATTACTATAATGTTGATGGAGATAAAAGCTAAGTTTATTGATAGACGCCTAGCCCATCTACTGTTCATAAATAAGTCTCATTTTAAAAACAAGCACATGTGGGTCGCCGAGTTGGACTTGGTCAAGTAATTGAGGCTCCAAACTTAGCCAACAACGAGTAGATCTACTTTTAAAATCTGATCTCTTTCCATACGTTTCAATGAGGATAGAGAACCCTTAAACCTAGAAGCTATGAGTTGATTTTAGTGACAACAAAGGGAAGAATCGGAAAAGAAAATCATTAATTGATTACAATGTTTATAGTACTTTGTCCCCTCCAAATAACCGTTTATGTTATCACTTAAGGAGAAATAATGTCAATTCATCAGTACAATATATAGTTGCATAGATTGTGTAAAGAGGAGCACAAATAATTTTATGCTAGAAGTAAATCAATCTAGTTAGGTAAAATCCTCCCAAGTCATCATTATATTTTCTATTTTTATGTGGCATGTAATATACATGATGGAATAGCAAAAAGATCACAAAATTTCCACCACTTCTTCCACTTGGGACAATTAATCTAGGACAATGTGACCTCTGACCATAAATTGTGTATGGACTATGATATTAACATCCACATGCAAGTTAAAAGCACTATGTATGGTTCAAAATCATCTAATGGATGGTCATGTATGTAATTGATAGACCACTGAAATTAGCATGCGAAATTCAAGAGAATTGAAGGTCCAATATTATCTTGTTTACCCAAAACAAAGTGTATACAAATTAATGCTGGAAGTTTCAAATATTAGCATTGGCAATGCATTGTACTCACTTGGTCAACTGGATAGTACATATATAAACATCATGCAACTAAAGAGTAATGTACTATATATTAATCTCAAATGAACACTTGTTAAACAAATTACATATTTTTTCGTTCTCAAAGTCACAATTGAATGAGTCCATTTTCATGTGCTAGGTTGTTTCACTCACAATCGTCAGGTAACTTGTTGATAAGACAAAAGGTTAATCACATGTACAAAACTACAAACTAATCAAATGCAGTACAAAAGGTTGATTTTCTATTGTATTTCGCCCTCGCTCATTTATAGGATCTTCTACTTAATTATCCTCTACTATGACTAATTTCAAGCTTAAACTAGATAATAGCCTAGAGGTTAGATGACACAAAACAAACATTGTCTTAAAAGGGATAGATCATAGATGTTTTCAAAATTTTCAGTTAATACTCCTCCAGAGGTGCTTTGTGTTACACGATTTTTTTGGCCTATTAACTTGAATATAACCCAATATGATACCAAGCATATAATTAGGTTCTATATGTTTGACTATCATGTTGTCATTTACCTTCGCTTAAAATTTATTTAACCTCGAAAATTGCGAATTGCAAGAGATAATACTAACTTAATCAATGGTTATAAACTGAAGACTGTAAATAATTAAATATGTAGAAAAAATGAGCATAATTAAATAACAAAATGCGAGAAAAAAATATAGAAGTAATACAACATACTCAGCACAATGAAAGAAGGCGCCATTATTATTGAAGGAAGCATTATTCATTCTTGGAGCTTCATTGGATGAAGGTTGACGGGCATCTCCTGATCTTAATAACACAAATAACACCATCAATGATGAGAAGATTGCTCCTTTTTCGACACCGCGACGCCATGTCATCATCATCGAAGAAGAAGAGGAAGAGGAGGAAGAAGAAGAATTAAGATTGATTCTATATTTTGTATATATATTTTTTGGCTGTTCGTTGGAGATACTTATATAATATGGTCATCCCTTGTTATAAGAAAGGTCAACTTTATCTCACTAATAAAATGGTCAAATTATAAAAATGTCAATGTTCAAACATATGCACGGCTAATTAATCACTTTTTGATAGAGTAGTACTTATAAATTTGTCAAAACGTGGGGTTTAGATTTTAGACATATGAGATCCGATTTCATAGCCAAATATTATTTGATTTGACATAAATTAAGCACTAATTTCAAAGCAATATTCAAAAGAAAAATAAAAATACATTGTAGACCTTCAATTAATGTGATTCAATAATGAAGATGAAATGTATATAAAGAAATGACGAGGATGTGACTACTTTCGAAAAATTTATACTAGTCGTGTTATACATATAAATATTTACGAAGTTATATTATTCTCATAAATATTTATGGTCATACCAAGCTAGACTTGGTCTATTGGTGGTGAGTATGACACCTTAAGGATTTGATCTCACTAGAAACATCACATTTTGAGAGTGGGGTATCCTTCCCTTCTCAGTTCTCACTCCCAAAAGTATATGACCCGTGATTACTGAATTGAAAAATCGTAAGATTTAAGGTACTGTTACATCATATTCCTTCTTCTTACCATTAAAAAGAAAAAAAATAAAAATAATATATTTATGGCCATGGGCTGGTGCTTATATTACTTGAAGTTGTATACTTGTGAATTGTGGGGATGAGCCAGGCATTAAAGCACTTTTGCAAGTTGATTGCATTTTTCTTTAAAATTTATTTTAGTTGGAAACCTTTCACTGATTTTTTTTTTATTTGATTTTTTTTTTTTTTTTTTTTTTTTTTTTTTTGTGCCAATGATGGCTTAATAGTTAATAGCTTAACATCATCGCAGTTCTCACTATTTTAAATTATTTTAGATAGCTATATTAACTCATGCAATTTTCATATTTTATACTTCATACAATACATATACACATATTGTATTGTGATACAAGTCTTACCACCTTAGATATGCACATATTATGTGAATTTACCCAGCACAATTATACTTAACTTGGATAAGATGAATAGTCCTTAGTTGTACTATTTTTTACATAGAGCAATTTAACAACTTTACTTTTGAAGTTTGAAAATTGGATTAATTTTCTTTTCAATTTGATGAAAAATACTCGTAAGAATTTTTGGTTAACTACTCAATAGTTGAATGTCTTTAAATTTTACAAAGTAACTTACAAAATATTGAATATGGTTCTTCTAATACAATTTTCAAGATGATTATCAATACATTAAGCAAAAATAATCAAACGATAATTACAAACCAGTAACTCGGGGCATTGCCCGAGCCACACACAGGGTTTTTTTTCTTAAAAAATAAAAACTTGTGAAGCTGTTTGAAGGCGTTGTTCGAAGTGCGCCTACGTAAAAGCATGTGTGAATATGCTTGGCACTCATAGGAAGTGGGAATTGACATATACGATTAGGGACAAGGAAAGTAGGGAGCCGCCAACAAGTTATTAAGGAACTTGTAAACCGTTCACGGATCATTTAAGACAACCACGAATAAAGGGACAACGAAGGCAACAACGATTGACCCGTGAAGGTTACACCCCATTCATAATCCATGAGATTACTAACTCCATACGGTTTGGAACCACGAAAGGAGGATCGGGGATGATGGTACGAAGTGAGTCGTGGAGTCCCATTCGCCCGTATTGGCCTCTACTCGATTCTTATAGTGAAAAGCATTCCTGCGATCTCAAAGGCATAAAAATAGAGATTCAATTCGCTTCAAACTATTATTAAGCTAAATTGGTTGAATATTAATGCAACATATAATTCTAAAATATTAATGATCACTTGATTTAATAACAAGATTAAAAGGGAACCTAAACCGGTTGTCTAAATTATCTTATTAGGCGTGATTTTCAATTACATATTCCCTTTAAACTTGCAATATGGTGATCATAAAAAAATAATAGAATCAACATTAATATTGGAAGCAATTTAACAATAAATTGCGTTAGTCAAATCAAATCATAACCTAATCATGATACTAGCAATAGAAAATAAAATAAGAGTAATTAAATTAATTAATTAATTACTCACTTTCCGCGTTTCCTTTAATTGCTACATCATGAATAAACTGTTAGTAACTTCAATGAAAATATAAATTAAATGAAAATTAAATTAAATAGAGTTGATTTGGTCCAAACCCTCAGTTAATTATACCTTTCACGTCTTGGTTTAAGTATAGAATTTCGGGTTAAGTATGGACTCCTTGGAGTGCTTAAGGGAAGTAATGATGGAAGAATAAGGTGGCTAGTGTTTAGGCTAAAGAGGGAGAAGAGAATTATTTGATGATCAAGCTTGTTGATGATTGAAAAAGGGGTGATATGACCAGAGAAAAAAGAAGGGTCGAAAAAAAAAGATAAGATCCGAATTAAATCGGAATAAAACTCGATAGACAACCGTTTTTGCGGTTTTTGTTTTTATCATATATTTTGATCCAAATATCGGAATAAGATGAATAAGATATCGTTGGAAAGCTCTTGAAGTCTACTTTATAACCCAATTAGAATCAGATTAAAATATTTTGTATAATAAAAAATATGGCCGAAATAGTGAGACGGTGTCAGTTTTGGATAGAGTTTGATATTCATATCAATTCCGAGTCCGTTATAGCTCAGAATTGATACTATAATATATCATTGGAAAGATAATTTCAAGGGATCCAACCACATAAAATTTGGATAAAAACTATGAGGCACGAAAATAATATCTGTCTATCTTTGAATGACTTTCAATTCGAATAAAATTAGGACTTTCAAAAAAAGGAGTATTATTCAATTTCAAACTCTTTAATCTTATCTTTTCAAAAAGGATAATTAGGATCTTTTAGAAACTTATAGAAGTTTCTAATTAATACTAATTGGTTTAGGAATTGTATTAAATCATTTGGACCCTCCACATGATCGTTGGGTCGTAGGTAAGGTGGGCTTAGGTTTGGTTTGGGCTCAGTTTAATATTTTGGCCATAACTTATTCATTATAACTCGGATTTAGGCTTATAATATATCGTTGGAAAGCTCTTTTGAAGCCCCATCCAACTATTCAATCATTGAACCCAGATAATGGACCAAAATAAAATGTATTAAATGTTTTTATAAAAAGGACACGAAATGAATGATTTTAAAAGACACGAAATGAATTATTTTGGGTTTAAAGGCACGAAAAGAGGGAAATAAGTTATGGTTTGGGGAAATGCGCTAGAAGTTGGGTTGGTTTATGAAATGGAAATATGGATTTAAGCACTCCAAGATTAAATACTCAACCCGACCAATAATGCGATGAATGGTTGTTCATCATCGGGTTTGGTGTTGGGGAGACATTTTTAGGTGTCTACACTGTTGTAATCCCTTTTTGTATAAAAACTCTCTTATTATAGCACCTTTACGTAGGTGTGGTAGTTTCAAATGTAGTGCTTTTCGGTGTTATGGGGCTTTCCTCCTTTTTGTGCCACACCAAGTTTTGCTTTGTTAATTTGAAGGTGCTATTTATAAATACTATGCCTTTAGAGGTTAATATAAGGGTGTTCACATTTACTGAACCTGAACTGCACTAAAATGATTAGAGCTGAAATGAGATAACTATTTTATGAGAGAAGGAAATTAGGAGCTGAACTGAACTAAAATTAAGCAAAAGTGAACAAGTCCTAAGCATGTCTTTCATTTGTGTTGAAAAAAATAACCTTTTTTTTTACATACATACATTAATAATACTAAGAAGGAATATTCAAGGTTAGCGAAAATTTTAAGATGCACCATTGCATTAATAATACTAGAAATAGGTGCACCACGCCTATACTTTTGAACACTTAGTAAAAAAACTGAACAATTGCAAATTTTGAACATGTAGAAAAAACATCTGAACATCGCAGATTTTGAACATTTAGTTAAAAAATTTGAACAATTTCAATGCATCACGCCTATACTTTTGAACATTTAGTAAAAAAAATCTGAACAATCACGAATTTTGAACATTTAGTAAAAAAAATCTAAACATTGCAAATTTAGAACATTTAGTTAAAAAAAATGTGAACAATTGCAATGCACCACGCCAATATTTTTGAACGTTTAGTTAAAAAAAATGAACAATAACAAATATTGAGCATTTAGTAAAAAATCTGAACAATTGCAAATTTTGAATTATTACGAGTCAGACAAGAAACAAATTTTGAAAGAAGTTTGTCTGACTCGTAATAATTTAATAGTATTGTAATATAAAATGAACATTTACCCTATACAAATTGAACATTCCTTTATGAAATATGAACATAAGTTCGGGTATTTGGACATTTGGATCAGCCATCGGATCTCAATAAGATATCCAATAATGATAATTAAACTTAATAATGTAGTTATTATTAGAGCTGTCAATTCTGGTAAATGGGTCGGATTTGGGTTGGGTAAGAGTGGGTCAGTTCAATTTGGATAATTCCATAACATATGCGGATCGGGTTTGGGTTGGGTCATGCTTTAATCGGGTCACGTTGGCCAGGGTCATACTTCTTATCGGGTATGGGTCGGGTTTAGGTCGGGTTAATAACAGGTCCGGTTACATTCGTGTTGGGTGAACAATAGGTCGGGTTTAATTCGGGTTAAAACAGGTTAAGGTAATTCTCGGGTTCCAGTCGGGTTCGGTTCAAGTCAATAATTTGCGGGTTAGAATCAGATCGGGTCATTCTCGGGTTTGAGTCGAGTTCGGTTCAAGTCAATAATTTGCGGATTATAATCAAGTCGGGTCTTTCAAGTCGGGTCATTCTCGGGTTCGGTTCAAGCCAATAATTTGCGGGTTATAATCAGGTTGGGTCATTTCCAATGCAATTCGGATCGGGTCGTTCTCGGATTCAAGTCGAGGTATGTTCAAGTCAATAATTTGCAGGATACAATCAGGTCGGGTCATTTCCAAGTCAGTTTATATTCG